AAGAATTAGGGTTTTTGGGTCAGTGGAGACAGCGTGATGGGATCCACAGAAAGACAAATCCGATTCAGACTTTAGGTTATATATATACTTGTATTCATGCATAAATGATAAAACACAAACACAACTATAGGGGATCTCTCTCTCTCTCTCACGCGCGCGCGCGCACACACGTACAGAGAGAGAGAGAGAGAGAGAGAGAGAGAGAGAGGCACGCACACAAAACACAGATCGGTTATATCATTCATACACTATGGGATGCACTGGTCCTGTATATTACCATAATTATCATATTGCAAATATTCAGGCACTATTAACAACATAAAAAATATTCATTAACAAATTTTAAAAACGGTATATAGGATTTGCTATGTAATATATACAAGTGATGGACTTTACTATGTATATATATATGTGTGTGTGTGTGTGTACGCGTGTGAGTGCGTGTGCGTGTATATATATATATATATTAATGTATATGTATAATATATATATATATAGTATAGTGTAGTAATAAACTGATAATACATTATCACGCGAGAAAAAATGCCGGTCTCCTTAGTTAAATCGCCGACAAATGTGTCGTATTGTAATCCATGCAAAATGGATAAATACAAAAGCCTAGAAGGCATCTAAGAACTAGGTTTGAACGATTTAATTCTCTAACCAATTATATAAGTACCTGAATATAACAATGATCATAGCATTAGTGTATTAAATTAAGAAGATACGTTACATCGTGCAATAGCGGCGGTCAACTATCTCTCTCTTTCTTTCTTTTTTCAATTGGATGGGCTTTTGGCTCCACGTAAGAAGGAATAGAAACTAACGTTTTTATAATAATAATAATAATAATATATAGTTAGTGAATTTCATGTTCAAATGTGATCCATATGAAGAAAGTTATAACGGCAAACCCTAGTGGCCACCCACGTTTTTTCTTCTTATTCTCTTGATGGACCCCATCCCACGACCATTCTATTTCATTTCAGGTTGTAGTAATAGTTTCTTTTTTTAATCCGAACCCAACTTGGACCTAATTACATCTCCTAAAGAATTTTAAACTTCTCCTCAAATGAAAATTCGAATCGGGATTGAAAAGGAGTTTTGCTCTACTTCTTATCCTTATCCGTACAACCACACCTAATTTTAGGCGTTGTAGTAATAATTATTTCAACTTCATATGTATATATATATTATATCACCAAATTGTTTCCGTTGGAACCGTGAGATGTCATGGAAGCACTTGGGTCCATTCAAATGCAACCATAATTTGTGCGACAATGACAAGACATGATCTAGCTTGTGTAATCCGAGGAGGATTCTGGATTTTCGATGCACACCCACGATTAGTGTGATCCATTGGACTTATTATTATCCAGTTTAGTCAACCATTTCGTCATCGCTGTCAACTTATCATTACATTTCTCGAATATCTAAACATATTTCGTATATATGTGTATATAGATGTGTGTGTGTGTGTGTACGAGGTCGACGTATGGTAAAGGTGATCGATGCGGTAGTGATAATTAAGTGGAATCATTGTTTTTTGTTTTTAAATTTCCTTTATTTGATAACATATTTTTTCAAACATCTATTTAAATAATTGGGGAAATCTTTTTTTTTTATATGAGATCCACGGAAATTACTTGTACATCCATAATTCTAAATTGGTATTTTAGAATAAATATTCTTCCAGTATTTTTTTATACTCCATCGTAATATTAATCAATAATTATAATAAAAGTTATAAAAAAAAAAGAATTAGCACTTTGCATGGTTTTGCTCTAACCAAATCACAGTAATTCAAAAACTTGGTTTACGAGCTGTGATTTTCGTTTAAACGATATACAACTTAGTAAAAATATGAAATTCGCTTGCACCACCATCATATTATTACTCGAAGCAAGGAACAAACAGATTAAGTTCATCACATAACAGTTAATTTATTTATTTTAATTCTGACAGATTTCTCAAATTTATAATGATGTTGTTATCTCAGACTACAGTCTACATGATATGGTTCGAGAGGAACGCACATACACATCGTTCGGTATCCAGATCGCAACGCTACTCTGATACCATGTAAAAAAATAAAATACGGAAATATAATAAGACAAATAAAAAGAAACATAATTACTTTTATTGCTACATATCTTCTTATTGTTGAATTACAATAAAAATGACTCACATATTTATAGAAAAATTCTGAGATAAAATAAAAAGTAAATAGAAATAAATAAGATCGATACACAATATTTGATATAATATTATGTCCATTATTATGGTTAATCATATCTTAAAATCAATATTTCCTTCCATCACATATTCGTTTTCACATTTTAACATGCACATCATTCGGAAGGAGATTTTTCAGTTCACTAGAAGAAAACTCTCATCCTTGCGCGAATGTCTCCTCACTCCTCATGATTTGGTTTGCAAACTTTGATTGCTCGTGATTATTTCATGATGTAATTCTCAACTCTCTGTACTGGGCAGCGTGTATATATATATATATATACAAGTTTACCGTTTAACAAAAAAATATTATTTATTGGAAAAGGGCAATGACTTATTGAATTAAACCAGACTCTATATTGATTTTGATATATTCAAAAAATAAATTTCAGCAAATTTTCTCCTGTGTGTGTTTATTCAAATTAATGCAGAACATATTTATTTATACAAGATACAACTCACACACACACTAAACCAAGCGAAACCGATCTAAACCGGTCGCATACTCTTACGTAAATAAAATAAACATGAAAAATAGACCAAAGAAGAGAAGATTTTCAGTCAAGGAACATCGTTGTTGATGATGCCAGAGGGTTGGAGAAAATGGTGGTCGGGATCTGGCCCTCCAGGCGAAACCCTAGCAGGAGATTTCCCAAGTCTCCTCATGTATCGGAGCTTCGGTTCTTCGTATCCAATCTTGTCCAAAAGAACACGATTTCGATTCCTCGCCGTCTCCTTTGTCCCCACGATTCCAGCATCGGGACAGCTCGTCATAAAAACGATAAAGAGAAGAATTACCACCCAAAACGACGACGTCATTTTTAGAGCCATATAACCGGTTTCACCAATCTAATTAGGATGTGAGAAAGATTCTACTAGTTACAAATTCAAGATGGGTAGAGGTGTATATATATATATATAGGAACACTTGATAAATTAATCTATAGTTTATATATGTTTATGTATAGTGCACCGGATCCACTTGTATTTATTGCAAAAATATGTTAGATGACTTCTCGTGGGTTGGTTTTGTTAAATCTCCATTACATTGTATCATTAATCTCATATATAATTGAAATTTAATCAACACAAACGGATTCGGGTCTTTTTTTTTGTTAAATATCTATGACTTAATGTCAGGGAAAATGTTGGTAATTAACTCTATTTACCTTCAAGTATAGGGTTTCTCCTATATATATATATCAATTTAAATTTTATTTTTTATATAAAAAAATAGTAGACCATTAGGGTTTTCTTCTTTTTTTTCTTCCGTTTTTATTATTCGATTATCTTTATATCCAACTAATTTAGTTTAAAAAAAAATCAATTCCAATAATTTTTATATCGTATTGGATTGGAATAATGGAATTCGGATTACTTCGGGAGATATCATATGGAGAAAAACAAGGACCACTCTATACATATATAATACAGAAAAAAAAAGGTACCTCCGTGGACAAAAAGTTATCAAACAAAGTTTTGTCGCTTTTATATTTTATTTCAAATTCGGCATAAGGCATGCATTATTATAAAATAATCTAAGATTCATCGGTTACAAACACTATCAAATCTCAATGGATATCATCGCATTACCTTCGACAATCTTTTTTTTTTTTTTGGATAATCCAGAAGTTCATCGGGCCAATAACCCGACTATATCTTCCAAAGGATCGTAAAAGTCCATGCGAATGCCCTTTCCCAATTGAGAAGTCGAATGGAAAAACTATAAAAAGAAAATGAATCAATACATTTTAAATAAATTAAATAAAAAAAACTCGGATATGCATGGGGCATGGAGTGGTTCCTCCACGTTCGGACGTCGACACAATTCATGACTCATCATGGTTTCCTTTGGAAGTTCTCTATATATATATATATAACAAATTTATAATTAGATTTGTTTTTTAATTAAATATTTGTAAATCTTATTATGTTTTGATTAATTAATTCGATTCGATTATAATCGTTGAACCTTTTTTTACTTACCCCTACTTTTTCTATATATTGAACTCATCACATCCACCATTATTAGTTCTAGAATCTTCTTGGTCCGAAGCATTACAGAATGTTATATGCGAAATATGATAATGCAACGTGCCATTCGAGTTGCGGAGCATTAATAATCTTTTTTGTATTATGCCTTTTGTAGCCTTTCTGTATTTCTCCTCCCGATTCCGCCGACTTATTGGGATGACCTAATAATATTTATCAATGTCGTAGTTAAAGACTATAAAAAACCAGGGGAAATAATAACAATTTTGTTAAAGTAATAATATTTTTCTGTAAAATAATAATGTATATTTTGTAATAAAAAAGAAAAAAAGAAAGACAACATCGTTGTCAATGCATGCGTGCGTGTCCGTTGAGTTAAACATAACGTTCGAGCTTCCACTCTTTAACTAGGTACGAATTTTGTCTGGATTATTACATATAATATATATATATATATATATTAGTGGGTCTCTGTAATATATAGTCGGTTAGTATTTTTATTTCCCACTAATATTTCTGATCCCTTTTATATTCTTTAACAACAATATAACGATTAACTTTCAAAGTTGTTAATCAAGATCTCCCCTTCTAAATTTATGCACTCGTTCAGTATTTCATAAGCAAATGACTAATTAAAGATTTCGAGGTATAATAATGAAATTGCTTTTTAGTTATTAGACAATAAAACAATATATCCATAAAACTCGCATATTACAAGAATACCGTGCATAGATTAATTACTTCACGAGATTTTAGTTGCCATTTCATGTGCACCAAGAACAGCATGTGTGTTACAATAACACGAAGCAATAAAGCACGGTACATGTTAGAACGATGGTAAAACCATAGAATTACACCCAAGTAAAAAAAAAAAACTTCCATGTGGAAAGCCAGCCATCTCTTACCAAATTTCTGTATACAAACTGTTGAAGTCTCAATCTGACCATTTAAAGCCACGCATGAGTTTTTTTATATTTGGCGTATATATATTTTCAGTGATGCCTCGGGTCCGGTCCACCGGGGCTAAGCCTCTTCAAGTCGAAGTTATCGGGTAGAACGTTTTCTTCGCCTTTGGAAATAGCCTCCAGCTTTACCGATCTTTCAATAAGTTCCCTTCTCAAACGGGCCGAACCCGAATGACAATCTTCCACGAGCAAACGGCGGCATTGGTGCACCGAGAATCGGAGTAGAAGCAAGGTAAGGCAAACCCAGATCTTGAAACTTGCCATTTTTCGAATAATTAGTATGACAACGATATATAATCTTTGCTAATTCTACTTCTGATCGGTCTTTGGAGTTCTAAGATACATAAGATGATGATCATGGAGAGGCGTCACACATATATATATATAGTTAAGCAATCCGTTAATGACTGTTGACCTGTCTATATACCTTCAAATGAATAACGAGATTTATGGAGGTTTTTAAAAAATAAAATATTTTCGTTTTCATGTTTTTTTTTTATAAGTTGAAATCTAGTCAGATCTACTCTGTCATCCCCAACCTTAAAACATTGCCCTAATCTTTTGCATTCGTTAACATGTATATCACATATATATATGTATGCGACGTCAATTATTTTATACAATAAGGAAGCCCGAATGAAATTAAAAAAAGAAAGTATTAATATATATTAACTCTCCAAAATTATGCTAATTCAGTACAATTTCCAAATTACAATATACGTATGTATATATCTACGTGAACTGCTCTTTGTTTTAGTACTCCTTTCTCGTCTTTATATTATAACTCTCAGTATCGAGAAGATGAATCGGACCATCCAATCGAATATTTCCACTTTGAAAAAAAAAAAAAGGACCATGGCTTTTTTGAGAGCAAAAAGGACCTGCGTGTGTGTATATATATATATATATATATATATATATATATATATATTCAAACGACAGCACGAACGATTTTATTTTTGGAGAGTTGTAAGCAACCTTATTTTATCAACCTTGTCGGAAAGAAGAATATTGGAAAGATCGCATAGAAATATTATAAATATATATGTATATATATATATAATACCAAGTCAACTTTTGAGTGAGTGGAGAACTATAGATAATATGTCATCATCACGCGTTCTAAAATATTATTTTAGGATGAAGATCCAAACTATAACAACTTTACAACATACGATCGACGTCTATATTCCACAAAGTGGATATTGGTGAGGGTTTTCGTTTTATATCTTTTTTAAAAAAAATTATAAATACACAAGCTTCAATAAAGGATGCATGATATCTCAATTCATGCAGATGAAAAATAGTATATCAGAGAAACATTTAATTTTCTTTACACAACAATAATAATAGATAATAACCTAATTAATAAATCACGATCTTTCTAAAAAGTTTCATATAAAATCACGAACTTTGTGATTTTAATATAAAATCATAAACTTTGTACGTAAATGTTAACATATTGTCACTTATTTACTAATTTTACAAATTTTTTAACTTCCATATAAAATCATAAATTTATTAATTTTATGGGAATATGACAAGATTAATAAATTTTATGATTTTATTTAGAAGTTAAAAAATTCATATTTTTATATGAAACTTTTTTTTAAAGTTTGTAATTTTTTTAGACTATGTTTCCTAATAATAATAATAATAAACAAGGGAAGGTCGAAAGCGGGCGCACCCAGAAGGAAAGAATCATATCTCGTCGAATGTATTATAATATACTTTAGACTTTTTATCCAAATATAAACAGGGAATTTTTCTATTTGTGGTTAGTGCGTTTACCCTAATAAGCACTATATATATATATATATATATATATATCCTACTTATTGTATTGGCATTGACTTTACTCCACTTTTTTTTTTTTTTTTGGGGGGGGGGGGGTTTTTTTTTTTTTTTTTTTCTGTTTATATATGTGAGAATCTAATCCCATGAACACATGTTGCCTTGCACTAAGAATCCTTCTTAATCCGCACATATCGAATCTTCGTGTTCATACTTGATGCTTATGGAAACGTATACTTGATGGATTCACCACTTCTGATGACCCATCCAATGAATTTTGTTTTCTCAAATTTCTGCTGTGCATTTTATTTCCCATGCAAGGATTATAAGAGTTTTTAAAAATATAATCTTTCAGGTAACACTTGTGAAGATGGTGAACGAAGCCACAGCCAATATCCCAAACTGGGGATCGTAGATATTATATATATATAGTCCTCACGATCCTCTGGTCTCCAAAGTGCATTCTCCGTGTGGTTTTTGTTCCTCTATTCAAGAATCACAGGATGTACATACACTGACTATGTAGAATATGTAAGCTTTTGGGGGGGGCTTTATTTTGTTTGGTATTTCATATGGATTAATAATTTAATGTGATTATGTGACATAAGCAACCATTATGTATTTCAACAAATTGAAATTAATACTAATTGCTCTATTTTTTCAAATATTTATAGTGAAATTATTCATAAACATCATCTATAGGTTTTAGGCTATATCAAATCTCACAAAGAAAATAATAGAAATATTTTTTTTTAAGGCAATGTTGTATTAGCTAGGTATAAGTGTTGTAATCCCTTTAAACATTGCATTTTTATAGAGTGAATTCCCAAGCCTTTGAATAATGATAATAAATCATCGTTTCATCAATGGAGAGATATAAAGCCCAACAAAAAGTGAGGCTGACATATATGGGCCTACATTTATGGGCCCAATCCAATTTTGGGCCATCGTCCAAGTGGTCCAAGATTCCACCTTTTCTTGTCACGAGAGTCCTTAATATATATATATATATATATATGTAATGTTAAACATCCAAAATTTATAGTTTGAAAAAACTCGGTGAAATAGATACATCATATTTAAAGCTTGCTTTTGTTTATTATCTATTTTTAGATTTTATTGAAGGCAATTAATTCATACTGTGTCAGTGACTCAATATTTTGAAGAACACCCACATATATCGATCAATGAAAAGAATCGTGAGTGTGTTATTAACTTATTATAATACATATTTTCGTAAAATTTGTATTTTTACATATAAATATCTGAAAAACAAAGCGCATATATATATATATATATATATACACACACACATGACGTGGGTATTCCTCAGACTCCACTGAAAGAGAAAAGAGACAAAGAGAGGGATTGGAGTGAGGTGGGTTGTTCGCAAGTGTATGGGAGTATATATTACAAAATAAAACACAAACAAGGGTTCTGGGAGTTGGCCATGTCAATTTTGTTATTGCTACAAGTGGGTCGATTGATTGATACGTTATATCCACGCCACTTTCATTATTATTAATTTATTATTATTATTATTATTATTATTATTATTATTATTATTATTATTATTATTATTATTATTATTATTATTATCGACTTTGTTTAAGTTACGACCAACTCGTTTCTTACTTATTGTAATAATGATCGTTTTGATACGTTATTATAGACTTTATTTTATCATTTATTTTAATTAGTTTATTAGTTTTTATTTGCCCTAAAGCCCCCACTTCTCTCTCTTCCTCTCTCTCTCTAGGCAGGGTTAAAACCCACAAGCTTACGAATTTGGCAACTCAACATGCAAAATCAGAAAATAGTTGAAATCGGGTTTCTTCGTATTGATTTCTAGGGTTTACATATTTACGTATATATGTATGTGTGTGTGTATATGTATGTGTATGTGTATGAATGGGTATAGGCATATGCTCATCCTATATTCCCGTCTTCTGCGCAATTTACAGAGAAAATAAAAGCAAAAGCGAGTAGAGACAGAAAAAGAAAAATATCAGAAAATGACATTAAAATCATCATCTTGGATCACGAGATCTCTGATTGGTTGCTTTCATCCCCCCCTCTCTCTCTCTCTCTCTCTCTCTATATATATATATATATATATGTATATATCAGGTACGTTGATTATACACCAATATTATGTTTAATCAGTTACTAATTATTTTTCGATTTCAGCTATTTAGATTCTTTTTCGTTTGATTCAAATAATCAGCTATGCAAGACAATTTAAAAAAGGAAGTTAATATCGCAGAGACTAGGGACAAAAATTAAATAAATTTCCTCCTTTTCTATTTTGTGATATGCAAGTATCAATCTTTTGGATACTTGCATATATGTTGATAACCTCGCCTTTCATTTCATAAATTTTTTCAATAATTAGATTACTAGTATATGATCTAATAATAACGTATGTAACTACATATATGATTTTATAGTTTCTCGTTTGCAAATTTAACGAAGATATAACGAGAACTTGATCAAACGTGCTCCGAAAAATCTGATCACATGTTACGTACGATAAGTTAGAGCTGGATATAGAGTGACCCAAATTCAATAATTTTGTTAGAAAAATTTAAAAATAGATAAACGGAAATATATTATAAAAGCAAGATGGAGGAGGAGGGGGGCCAACTCTGCCACCGTCCCCTTCGAGGACTGAGACATAGTATTATGCTTTAGCCCCACACTTTGCATTTTTCACGCAGTTTTTATAAAATGTAACTTCTTTTGTGAACCCTAAAATCCATATTTTTATTTTCTATACGTGTGTATGTATATATATATATATATATCAATTCACATTTAATGACTATTTCTTTGTCCTGCCACTGACAGTTTCAACTCTCGGATCTTAGAACAAATGTTTTCTCATTGTTAGAGAAGTGCAGAGGAATCCATTGATCTACAATTTTTCTTAGTTATATGTATGCATGTACATATATATATATGTATATATAAGTGTTTTAGAACTGCTCCTATACCGATACGGCCCACTCTCCCAGTCAGGGAAAATAGTAACTTCCCTACTAAATTTGTTTTTTTTTTGTAAAAGAAAAAGATTTTAATTATTGGAATTTTAATATATTTTTATAGTTTCTCATATATATATAGAGAGAATATAATTGAGATAAATGAGACAGATAATGCTACGTTTCTGTTTCTCTTATATGTGAGTAAGCAAGTTGCAACAGCTCCTTAATTTGTGGAACGAGTTGACACGCGAGTTAACAGATTCAACTCGTTCTTGTATTTAGGTACATTGACAATGAGTACACGTAAATATTACTCAGAGTATAAGGCCGGTTTAGGTCGGTTTGGTTTGGTATAGAGATTTTTTTTAATTCCTAAAACATGGTTTTTTCTTTGTACTAAATCAAGTTATAAGGCAACCCAACCGCACCTAAACCGATCGTATATTTCTCAATTATGCCTTATATTATATTATATTATATTATACTATACTATACTATATTACATTGGATTTTTTTTTATCCTAGATAGAGACTATACATTTAAATATATATTTTTATTTAAACCATCAATGGTTAAGACTATACAATTAATATTCTGTTTTAGGATGAGGGAAAAAATCCACAAGTAAGAATCTGCATGTGATTGGGGGGAGAGGAACTTCACTTTCACGATTTCTAAGTTTTCACGTGGAATCTTTTTGTCCGAAGCATTGCATGCGCATTGTGCTTTTTGTAAAAGACTTTAATCTAACCTCTGACATATTTTTCATACTTTCGGGAGCCTTCAAGTTGACGGCATTCGTACTTTTCTTTTTTTCTTCCAAAATAAAAAAAAAAATTGCCATCTATCATACATACATACATACATATACATTACTCATATATATATATATATATATAGTATTATATTAAGTGTTAAAGGTTAATCTGGATTTTGATATCGGAATGATATTGTCTCGTGGAAAGGGGAGTACTGATTTTACGTGCTTGTAACCGACAGCCTTTTAAACACAACTCGTAAAAAGAATGAGATGAAATGATAGACCGAAATGGTATTTTTATTTTAGGCAAACGTATCGGAGATACCGATCGAAGGCCGTGGGCACATCATTAGTTAGGAGCAAACATCAACGTACAAATATACATATATATATATATATATATGTATATATCGTACTATTTTGGAAACACCATACTAGGGTCGCAAATTTAATTTCCAATATGTTTAACGATAATTTACATATAAAATCTTGATTATAATTCGTGGAAAATCGGAATTACAACCCGAAAAATCAATAGTTTTTTGTCAAATCCAATATTCAAATATTTGGACTCAAATATTAACGTATGGTTGTGGGAATAATAAAAAAGAATGAGACGTAAGTTTTTTTTTTTTTTGTCAATACGATTTGGTGGACCGAGGAGAACTACAAAGGGAAAGAACCAAAAAAAAAAAAAAGAGGAAAAGCAAATGTGTGTATGATTCATTATCAAGGTCTATTAAAGAGAAAAGTCGCGAGTGGCAGAGTCGTAATTACAAGGAAGTGGTTTTCGCAGACAATGACCTTAATCATAACCTTCCCCTCCTCGAATATCATTGTACATTGAGCCTGAGCCTTAATCATGTTTACCCACATGAATGATATAACATATATATATATATATATTATGTTTTGTCTTTGTATTATGTATAGCTACAAGTGGGTCGAACAACTTCATCACCACTTTGAACAAACTTAATTATTTTCTACATTTGTATTTCAGACACAATGTTTACTTTTGGTTTATAACCCTTGATTTGGGTAAAAGTAAATCTGGTTAATTTTACCAAGGTTCAACCCATTATCCATGCATGCATGTCATATGACATATGCATATATGTATCTGTATATATATATATATATATGTATTTGTATTATGCAATTCAAGCACTGTTTTCTCTAGGGAGAAAGATACATTATGACAACAACTGTGAAGTCGTATTATCAATTATACCATGGAACGAGAATGATTATATCATATTACAAATAAGGAGCACAAGGGTTATTTAGTGTTCGCTTCCCAATCTGACCTAAACTTCTGCTATCCTTTTAGCAGCACCACCCCACTCTCTCTCTCTCTCTCTCTCTCTCTCTCTCTCTCTCTCTATCTCTCTCTCTCTCTCTCTCTCTCTCTCTCTCTCTCTCTCTTCATAATTTCTCTTCTCTGCTCTCTTATTCCCGGCCTTTAATAATACCTAAAGACCATAAATACACATAGAGCAAACGTATTTCCATAAAGGGTGTGTTTCTTTCTTTGCTTCTATACTGAACGATATCAGTTCTATGGGTTTCTTCGTTTCTGTCTGAATCTTGGGGAAAAACCCTAGAAAACAAAAGGAGGAAATCAAACCGAATCAAAGCCCACGTTTGCCCCCTTTTTTTTCTTGTTTTTTTTTTCATTTGTTTTAAATTTTGCCTTCCTTTTTGTTCGTTTGTAGGATTTGATGGTGTTTCTTGGGTCATGGGATCTGTTCACTGCCATGGCAGATCTTTTTGGGATCTGTATCATTAGGAGCTGCTGAAATTTGTACCAGCTTTCAGGTAGGTGTGTCCAGTTACAGATGTTAAAGCGCTAAGTTACAAAAAAAAAAAAAAGAAACGAGAGGTTAGGGGGAGAGAGAGAGAGCAAGAAGAGAAGAGATCGAGAAAAACGGCAAGCACTTGGAGAGGCCTGCAGCGAAAAAACGGCACGCGTTTTCTCAAGAATCTGGATCTCCAAGGTGATAACAACAACATCATCATCAAGAATGGCGTTTTGAGAGGCGAAATGGGTCTGAAGAGTTCTGGTTCGGGGGGAGGGGAGATAGTGCAGGTGGAAGGCGGTCACATTGTCCGAGCCACCGGACGGAAGGACCGTCACAGCAAGGTCTTCACGTCCAAGGGCCCACGCGACCGGCGCGTGAGGCTGTCGGCCCACACCGCCATACAGTTCTACGATGTTCAAGACCGGTTAGGTTACGATCGCCCTAGCAAAGCCGTGGACTGGCTCATCAAGAAAGCCAAATCCGCCATTGACAAGCTCAACGAGTCGCAGGAGTTGGCCTTGCGCGACGTTCAAGGTGGGAAAGCCGCAGAATCGTCCGACCCTAATTTCCAAATGGTCGATGCTAAAGATGATGATGATGATCACCATCACCAGACCGTGCAGTTCTCGTCTTCTTTGGTTGCCCCTTTGGCGAATCTTGATCCCGAGGACGCCATGAAAACGTTCTTCCCGACGAGTAGTACCAACTCCAGCATCAATTTTCAGAACTACCCACACGATATAATCTCAAGAACCGCGAATCTGAACCAAGATTTAGGGTTATCACTTCACCCTAGCTTCCATGGAGACTCTGGTCAAGCCGGTTCGTCCACGGATCAAACCCTTTTCGCCACGTTCGAGGCCAACAATTTCCAAAGAATGTCCGGATGGAACAGCGAATTGACTCCCGAGCAAAGGGGTTTCTTGGTGAGTTCATCATCGCATCAACCCTCGGTTCCGACACTGCTTAATCACCAACAGACACTCTTCCTCGGTCAAGGACCGCCATTGTTGTCTCATCAAAGGGGTACCCTTCAGTCCAGTTTCCTTCAACCGTTTCGGTCATGGGATCATCATACGGATCATCATCATCACCACCATCAACAGAATCAATCTTCTGTGTTCGCTTCACAGTTTGGTTCACATGGGATCATGCAAGGGCTCAGTGTTCACAATAGGATCCATGGCGAAGAAGGCGAAGGACTTGGACCTCACCGTCCTTCGGCCTCTTCTTCATCTCCTCCTCATAACTCGCATCCCTGATCCAAAAACAGGTAACTTTAACCTAAATTTATGATCTTTCCTTATATTCCCACTGCCAGATTCTTAGCACACAAGTTTATACATTCAAACATATACTTTTTTTTTCAAGATTGTCAAGATTTGAGGAACTTGATGAATACGGTGAAGCGTATGATCGATATCGGGATCCAGAGGAGGAGAGCACGAGAAGATTCATATAGAGATATCTTCTGATAGTTTTTCTTCTTATCTATTCTATATACGTAAGTTCACATCTATATATATATATATATATAATTTAAATTTTCGGCTGTTTGTTTTTGGTATTCATCACAATGATCATGCTCTTGTGTTTAGGGGCTTTGGCTTACGTTTGTTGCTTAAACATGAGTTTGCTGTGTTAATGGTGTCTTATTATGTGTGTTGCCTTGTGTTGATGCCCTCTAAAAACCCTTTTTTATTATTTAATTTAATAAAAAGAATGATTTATTTTATTTTAATTTTTTTTCCATTGTTTTGGTTACAAATTAAATTCATGGTTTTGGTCGGTCTAGGTATCTGGGTTTTGGACAAAGCTCAAAACTTCATATCTTCCCTGTAAGAAAACCGCTTGAATTTGAATAATTTATTTATGACAACAAACACCTTATTTGTTCAGACTCGGTGATTAAAGTTGGATCTCTTTAACAGAGAGTCGTAATTATTACAAGTTGGGGGATTTTTATTGTAATGCCCTTGTCACCATATTCAATGTTCTTAATTGCTACATGCATGTATATATATACCACCAAGGGTTTTGATTTTTTTTTTGTCTCTCCATATATAATAAAAAACGTAAGATAATCATATATATATATATATATGTATATATTCATAGTCTTTTTTTAAAAAAATTTATTTATAGCCTTTGCATAGTTTGGTGAATTCGTACTTGAGAACCGTAGCTCACTAAATGAAAACGAGTTATATATAAAATAGCTTGACGTATGGTCACATGATGATAATCATCGATATCTCACAAGATTTATAATTGATAGATAGATAATGCACACACACATCTGGGTGCCATCCACATATATATATATATGTACACATGTATCGATTATAACTAAATTAGAGAAGAACAAATACCACATGCATGCCATATATATACACATATCTATATGTGTAATGCTTATATGTATGCATTATACTCTTAAAATTAATATACATGGTTTAATAGATAGAAACGTGGGACTTTTCGGTACGTGACTATTGTTCATATATTTAATAAGCATTTGACGAAAAATGATTATGAGAGCACAAATCAACTAGACCGACGTGGTTCTTGGACTGCCCCATTTAAAAGAATTTATCATTTTCCGAAATTCGCCTAACTAAATATAATCGAATTTCGTCCGAGCACTCTATCGAGCCAAGAAATGTTTTTTTTTTTGCATATAAAAAAAAAAATCAATCATTCATGCGGCATGAAACGCCATGTAACTGCTTGCCAAGCTTTCGTCTAGTGAACCAACTCTTAAGACATACCAAAGCTTCTTACTCCTTGAATCAGATCCAAACTTGGAATATCAAAGTCGGTCCAAATTGCGGTTAAGACAAAACCATACGAATTATACGCAATTCTTGCGGTTATCCTTATAATATAACAATGTACAAAACTACGTATTGCATATATTGTTGAAACGAAGCTAAAGAGAGATGCTTGCCCCGTTGAAACTTTGCGATACAAAAATGCAAAACCCGTGACCATGAAAGCAGCGGCAGAGCTCTGCAGCTATATGTTAAACCAAGTTTCAAACTTTATAACGAAACCTTCCTAAATCTGCAAACTTTGAGAGAGAAAATGCTGAATTCACTGAGAAATGCTGACCTGATATTTGTTGTGATCTGCCTTCTCTCGGTAGCTTCTCGGGCATCTTCAAGGGTTTCCTCTGCGTACGATGACCCGATCATGATGCAACGGTATGAGACTTGGCTTAAACAGCACAGGAAGGTTTACGGGTCAAAGGACGAGTGGCTGCTGCGTTTCGGGATATACCAATCAAATGTCCAGTTCATCGACTTCATCAACTCACTCGACTTGCCTTTTAACTTGACTGATAACAAGTTTGCAGACATGACAAATGATGAGTTCAAGGCAAAGCATTTGGGGTTTAGCAAGTCATTCTTGCCCTCTGAGATCCCCGAGAACCACCGCCACGATGCACCATGCGAGCGGGGTGATGGGCCTGTGGCTGTGGACTGGAGACAGAAAGGTGCTGTGACTCCTGTCAAGGATCAAGGACAATGCGGTATGAACTTTTTCCCTTAGTATAATCTTTTTTCAATATCAAATCTTATAAGAAAGCATAGTTCAACACTTGGTTCTATGTAAAGTAAAATCAACTTACCTTACAGCAGATTCCTCCATTCGGACATTAAGATCTTCTGCGCGGACAAAGGCAAAATGCCAGGGATCTGATTCTCTGTTTGCACCCTTTTTTTTGGTACAGGAGGTTGCTGGGCATTCTCTGCAATTGCAGCTGTTGAAGGCATCAACAAGATCAAGACAGGGAAGTTGATTTCCCTGTCAGAACAAGAGCTGATTGATTGTGATACCGGGAAAGACAACCAAGGCTGTAACGGCGGATTAATGGAAACAGCATTTGCTTTCATCAAAAGCAATGGTGGAATCACCACCGAGTCTAATTACCCATATAAAGCCAGAGACAACACCTGTGACAAATCAAAAGCTAAAAATCACGCTGTTACGATATCTGGGTACGGCAAAGTACGCACCAATGAAAAGAGCCTACAAGCTGCAGCCGCCAGCCAACCAATATCAGTGGGCATAGATGCAGGTGGATATGCATTCCAGCTATACTCTTCTGGCGTTTTCAATAGTTATTGCGGGACACAGCTCAACCATGGAGTGACCGTTGTTGGGTATGGAGAAGAAAGCAAGAAGAAGTATTGGATCGTAAAGAATTCATGGGGAACTGGCTGGGGTGAAAAAGGATACATAAGGATGGCACGTAACGTTAAGGGAACCAAAGGAATGTGCGGGATTGCGATGATGGCAAGCTATCCCATAAAGTGAGCAGCTTTGGTGGAAGCTTTAGCATCTTGTCATGGTGAAAGAAACAGATAACTGAGATCTCTCTCTCAGAATAAGCAATCCTGCAACAATGCAGCTAAGTAATGTGATTCAATAAATAATTACTATAGAATAAGAAAAAAGGTACTCTTAAAGGATAAACAAGGATATGATTAATATAAAAGAGAACAATGTATGTTGTCTGATTACACTTCACAGCTCCAGTGAAGTACGTGAGGTTCATTTACTTGAGATGACTGATACCTTTTCCTAATTGCTTTTGATGTCATAACCTGCTCATTCTTATTCCATTAGGTTTTACAGCAGGTCTAATGACAGCATAATCAAGGGAATAAGAATGATTTTTGTAACACAAAAAACGCTAATTCTCGTGATGAAAACAGTAATTTCAAATGACAAAAGGGTAAGTCGTCCACAGATCTATAGAGCTCAGTTTCCAGAGAACTTACCAGATGGTAACACTCTACGGATAAATTGATCTGGTCAGAATTCAGGCTAGGATTTTGCCAAGCAGAACCAACTGAACCTTGAGACCAATCAAAAACGGAAATTTCAGATAAATTAGCTTCGGATGATGAATTCTACTTTCATTACAAGCTCCCATTTATCAATACTTTTCAAACTGCCCAAAGGTTCGATGGCTCTCTTTACATACGCGATGAAGAAAATATCCATAGTTTCCATCACTCTGTTTCCCGTTAAATATACTTAACAATGGCAATCCAAAGACTCCTCAACAGCTTTTTCAAGGCTTGGATGTATTTTAAAGACACAAACACAAAAGGGTAAGGAATGCCAGAAAGCAGAACCCTTTTAAACGAAGCATCGAAGATTATTCATCAATGTAGAGTAATGGGGGGAGTAATCCCCATACTTTCCTCAAATTCTTGACTCGAAGTTTCTTCTAGGAACTTAAAATGCCATTGCTACTCTTGAACATAGCTAAGTCCTCAGCTCTGCAAGCCTTTGCCTCACCGTACAAGCAAGCTTCCATTCCCCAATACTATTCAGACCCTCGACCACTTTCTGCCTCACTCTGATATATGGTATGAACCCCCTCTCTGTCATCTTTATCACTGCCTTCCCTGCCAAAATGTACTCCTTACACTCTAAGCAACCCTCAACCACAGCCTCATATGCCTCAAACTCTACAGGGTAACCTTGACTTTCTACGAAATCAATCATATCAACAGCTTTCCGTATCTCCCTGTTTGCTCTCAAAGCCGCTGCTACTTTCGAAAGCATACCTTGCCGTGGAGAAATTCCAGCTTTGCTCACCATCTGTTTAATCATCCCCACCACATGTTTAGTCTTTCTAGCCAAACACATCGAACTTATCACGGCGCCATAGCTTTCTGCATCAGGAATACAACTAGCTGCACCCATTTCTTTGACCACGTTAATCGCCTCATCTGTCTGGTCAACTGCACAGAGAGACGACACTAAAAAATTACATGTGCCTGTATCAGGACTATACCCAATTGATTTCATCTCATTTAGAATCTCTGCAACAGATTGGGATTGACGCCGCCGTTCAAGCCAAGCATTGGACAAAAGGAGATGAGTTTGAGGAACAGGAAGACAACCCGATCGAAGAGTGCGTTGGAGGATTGCGAGTGACAAAGGAAATGGGTCAGAAGTCTGAAGGCAGTAAGAAAGAAGGCCGGAGTAGGCACTCTTGGTATGGGAATGGGGTCTTATGGTAATAAAACTTTGAAGAATTTCATCTATGACCCGGGTTTTATGATGGGGTGGGAAGGCAGACAGAAATGAGAATAACTTTGGGTTCAAGTGTGGCTCTTTTAGTGAGACTAGAAGGTCAGGGATACGAAGATAGTCCTTCGTTTCGACGGCATTTTTTATAGCTTCTTCGAGCGCTTCAAAGGAAGACATCAACCGGACAAATGGAACTCGAGCCCGAACAAACGACTTTCCCAGATTCACCAAGCGAATAGCCATCTTCCCTGCTTCTAAAGATCTGACTGACTATAATAACTTATATATCACTGAGCTCCCCTCTGAAAACATCTCTTCAAGTATTGGTTTTCAAAGCCTGGAAAGGAAGAGAAAGCACACACATATAGAATCATACTTAGCCAAAATAGGTAGAGAATCATACTTGGCCCAAAAAAAAATCCCAACGACATCAACAGGTATCAAGAACAGCAGAGCCGTTAAACGATTAATGGGCACTAACGACAATGAAGTCTCGATCAAAATGTACTCTTCTTATCCGGAATATGGATAAAAAGGTCGATGATCATGAATCATGAGAGAAGAGATAAATGCATAATTCCTCCCTTCACAGGATCGTTTACCCACAGAAGAACTTGGAAAAATCAATCAAAAACTAAAAAATTCAAAAGATAGAAACAGAAAAATTCATACTTGGATTTGTTTCAGAGCAATCCATGCAAAACCCAGCAAGAATCATCATCGATGGGCAGAACGAAATCTTACTCGCAGGGGAATATCATCGAACATGTGGTCTGCTATATGAGGACAGAACTAGAGCACACGCGACAAGGAATCGAAATTCGGATCCTTAAAATTCGCAAGTCGACAGACCTTGAAATTAATTCGACAAAGGAATCAGATTTCTATTAAAAAAACTAGCTGATTTACTTACCGATGAAACACAGAAGCTTTGCTTCAATGTAATCTTCCCGACACAATCTTCTTGAAGTTCCGTTGACAATATTCTGTTCTTATGACAATGTAAATTATACGATCATTATATTTCACTAAAGAAATTAAAAAAAAAAATATCTCTAAAATTAACATGACGTCGAGTAAAACTATATATATATATATATATATATAAAAGTAATATTGGACCGTTGTCTTGTGTGATTACATTTGGAGAGTAATAAATCGAAATAACACACAATTACTGAAATTTAATTTAATTAATATACCTTTTTCGATACATTAAAATTTATGAGACAGAGGGTAGCGTTGTTTGAAATCATTAACGACCGCATAACACTGTTGTTGTTGTTGTTGCTGCTGCTTGAATTTGTCCCATCCTCCGAGCAAGTTCCTCGAAGAATACCCGCCATTATTTTCCACCCGATTAACACCGGCGCCGTTATGATCGCTAATTACTCCGTTATTACCGTTATTAAGACCAAACCCTCCTGATCCACTCGCGTAATCAACCACTAATCCCGTCTTGCTGCTGTTGTTATTGTTACCACTAAACACGTGATGATTACCGATGCTGATGTTATCCCAGTTTACGAGATGCTGCTGATGATGATGGATGAAGCCTTTGTAGAGCTTAAGCTCCTCGTGGATTCTTCTGTACTCTCCGTACAGGCCCAGGACAGGATCTTTCTGTCTCCACAGGGCTTCCCACGTCAGCGAATCCGACAGCTTCGTGCGGTCCTCCTCCCGTACCGTCCGTACCATCTTCTGCACGTTGCTGACGCCGAACACCCTGTGTACGGCCTGGAACTCTTTCGTCTTGTACGACGGGAAATACGGCGCCAGTACGCAGTCGCTGTTGCATTTCTTCCTCTGGTGCTTGCATGAAGCGCATGCTTGGTGATGCGTCGACGTGTTGTTACCAGTTTCACAGTCTCTTTGCATCATATATATGGGTCGATGTGTCTCTACGGATAAATAAAATTGTAATTTTTTTAAGGACCGATGAATTAAAACAATTTAAGAAATTAAATATTTTTGCGTTTAGACAAACTTCTGGGTACAAATATATAACCAAGGGCGAATCCAATTCTTTAATAATGGGGTCACAGGCCCCTATTATTCTATTTTTTAAAAAATATTTTCTTTACAAATTTTATAAAAATTCAAAACAAAATTGTTAAACATTCTGTAAAAAAAAATTAAATCTATCATTACAAAATTTATTGTTGTCCCGGATATAAAATTTTATGGGTCCACTATTATCTATAATGCGTATATATATTTATATGTATGCTTATGTGTGATGCATATGTACAAACCATTTATATTCCGATATTTACTTAATCAAACATATAAAAAAACAAATTCTCTTAAATCACAAATTATATATATATATAGTATGAAAAAACAATTACGACAGCTTATAGAAACGTATATGAAAGGAGGAATATACGTACAAACCTCTCGTGTGTTTCTGTTTCCTATAGCTATGGAAATTGGTAAAGAAGGAAGCCTTATAAAAAGAAAAAGAAGAAATGAGATTGGTATTTGGATCTGCGTAATGAGCACGAAAAGACTGTTTAAATCTTTGAAAGAACCAAGTTGTTTGGATGATGGGTTGATCGAGTTTTAGGTTATCCATTGACAAGAGCATGGATTTAATTATAATTAATTCACAAATGGATAAATAAATAATAATCAAAATGTGAATAAATCATAAATAACACCAAAAATAAAAAAATACATTTATATTTCTGTGACTTTTATATAAATGTTTTTTTTTTTGTCTCGGTCATTAAGATTTTTCTCAAATATGTTTATTTTGGTTTGCCCCCCAAAAAAAAAAAAGATCGGGGAATGAATTTCGTGGGAGGTAATTGACCCAAATTAAAATATTATCGAAGTAACATAAATTCTTAAAAGTTTGTACCCTAAGTCTGCAATTTCAAAACGAACTTCAAACTCAAAACAGGGATCCAAAACCCTTTCCCAGTTCCCCTTCCTCGGTAGATCTTGTAAAACCCTATCCCTCTCCCTCTCTCTCTCTGCGGCATCGCTCTGCAGAGATGGTGGGTCCTCTGCTTCGAACCCTCTGGTCAACCACGACACGAAGGTCCTTCTCCTCTCGACCATCTCCATATGCCAAGCTCAATCCTTGTTTCTCCTCCCCACGCGCCGCCGGTTTCCTCTCACGCGCCTTCTCCGCCGCAACCGCCACTGCCGCAACCGCCGGCGCGGAGGCGAGCTCGCTAGACCCTAGTCGGCTGAGGAACGTGGCCGTTATAGCTCATGTCGATCACGGGAAGACGACGCTCATGGACCGGCTTCTCCGACAGTGTGGCGCCGATATCCCCCACGAGCGCGCCATGGATTCCATCAGTCTCGAACGCGAGCGAGGGATCACTATTGCCTCTAAGGTATTGCGTTTTCATGGAAAATCAGCCTGTTTGGATGCTGGGGAAATGTCTGTGGCAGAGTCGGTTTGGAGGTTTACTTCGGAAGCAAAGTTGTTGGCCCCCTCAAATCGAAGTCGAATGAATTCGATTCTGCGGAAATGTGGATATGAATCGAATCTATACCGTGAAAACGATATGCATGGAACATTTTAAGCAATTTTGGAAATTTTTTTTGTTCAATTTGAAACAGATTAATCTCTGTCTCAGGGCAAGTCTTGGTTCTATATTAGTAGACTGTTTCTTTCCTAAAGGTTTTTGGACCCATCGTGAGATAACTGATTAAAGACCAATTTTCGTTTTGCTCAATTATGACCCATTGGCGGTGGATTCTTTCAATGCTCAGTTGGGACCGTTTCTTGTTCAGTGTTACGTCGCAGCATGGTGTTTGAAGTTTGTCTAATATGTTTTCTGACAGGTGACATCCGTACCGTGGAAGGACAACGAACTGAACATGGTAGACACGCCAGGTCACGCAGATTTTGGTGGTGAGGTATGAGCCTGATCTGAAGCGAGTTTGCTTTGTGTTTGTGTATGATCAATTCAACATTTTTATCCGATTTATTCTAGCATAGTCGCTTATCAAATTTAATTTGTGGTTAAGCTAAAGGAGATTCTCAAGAATCATGCTTTTCTTACATAAGTGTTGATAATGCTTGAAAAAGTTATTGGCTTTCATTGGAACAATGAGATATAGCTTCCTGACATCCTCATGTATCATGATCTAACCTAGTAGATTCAGTGTGTCGATCCGATTTCCAAGATGGGAAGCTCCATGTTGAAAGAAAAGGGTTTTGGCCTACATGAGAACATGGAGAATATGCCACTTTTGAGTGATTTTGGGTGTCCTGACTCTTAGTTTCAGTTCTCCAAGTTCCATAAATATCTAGCCATTGAAATATTGAATATAGCTAATATCTCTATTATACTTGGATTATAGGTTGAACGAGTTGTAGGCATGGTTGAGGGAGCTATATTAGTTGTTGATGCCGGCGAAGGTCCGCTTGCGCAAACAAAATTTGTTCTTGCCAAGGCCTTGAAGTATGGGCTGCGGCCTATTCTTCTGTTGAACAAGGTAGATCGACCTTCAGGTATGAATTGTATTCTCTTCCCTCTTTCGGAAAACGTGTTTGTCTTCTCTTTTATATTAATTTACTTTTGATATTTGTTTGATGTGGAATTCTTTCTTTGCCATTATCTTTTGGCAGTTTCTGAAGAGAGGTGTGATGAAGTGGAGGGTTTGGTATTTGATCTTTTTGCAAATCTGGGTGCCACAGGTAAAGAAATATATCAAATTGCTACGTATAGTTATTCTAGTTAAATTTTATGAAAGTTTTAACACATAATAATCATTCCTTTCCTGCATTTAGAGGAGCAACTAGAGTTTCCTGTACTTTATGCTTCTGCAAAAGAAGGGTGGGCATCTTCAACCTTCACCAAAGATCCTCCAGCAGATGCTAGGAACATGTCAGAGTTGCTTGATGCCGTAATAAGGCATGTTCCGCCACCAAATGCAAGCCTTGATGAGCCTTTCCAGATGCTGGTAAGCAAAAACTTCCGTTGGATATTTGAAATCCTGTGTTCGTGTGTCCAAAATTGTCTATGCAAGTTACTTCCGATTTGTAATTTTCCCTTTGTTGAGGTATCTGATTGTCACTCATGTTGCATAAGCATAACACATGGATGGGAGAGACTAACACACTAGTTCACATGATTTCTATTTGGCATTCCTTCTGATATGGACCGTAAAATCGACTTCTAACACAGTTCTCTCCATATATATATATATATATATATATATATATGTGTGTGTGTATATGTGCTGAGGATGTGAAATCGTTCACTGAGTTTAACTGCATCCATCTATTTTTTTTTTATTAAGGATAACGTTAGTTGTCTTATTCAAGTGATTCCTTTTTAAAAGTGTATATCTTGAGAGGTAAAGATGGTGGCGTTCTAATATATTTAGGTATCAGGAACTTTAATCATCCCATTTCACTTGTTTCATTGCTGTTACTTGTATCTTATGTGGCACGATTGCAAAGCTTGTCCTGTTCAGTCTTTCCTTTGACAAAGCGGTTTTTCAAGCATTACTGGTAGCGATTTGCAGGTTTCAATGATGGAGAAAGATTTCTATCTTGGACGAATATTGACTGGAAGAATAGATTCTGGAGTTATTCGTGTTGGTGACAGAGTCCATGGGCTGCGGAATAAAGATTCCAGCTCTGAGAAAATAGAAGAAGGAAAGGTTCGTCCACAACATGGTGCTTGGTACTTGTTCCGAGCCTTATCATTCACAATGTCTCGTCTTAGCAGATTCAATCATCTCTTGTATAGGTTGTAAAGCTAATGAAAAAGAAAGGAACAACAATTGTCTCGATAGATGCTGCAGGAGCTGGTGATATAATTTGTATAGCTGGTTTGGGAGCTCCGTCAATAGGTCATACTGTGGCAAATACAGAGGTATTTCCAGAAATGACTATATCCATTTGTGATTTTTAGAGCATATTTAATGCATTCTGTATTTTAGCATAACATAAATTCTATTGTTCCTAATTTATAATGCAATCAACTTGAATGGTATGTCTGATTCTTTTTTATCTGTCAGGTCATGGCTGCACTTCCCACGGTTGAGTTGGATCCACCAACCATTTCCATGACTTTTGGTGTCAATGATTCTCCTCTGGCTGGTCGAGATGGCACTCACGTATGTTTGTATTTGCTCCTTTAGTAACACTGGCCACTGGGTGATAACTATTCTTCTAACAAGTTTACTTCCACACAAAAACTTGGAGAAACCTCGAAATTGTCTTCGAGTTGCTCCTTCTGTCATCGGGTCGGGATTCACTTATGTATGTGATAGAATTAATGAAATTGAAACCCAAAATGTTTTATTACTCATACTAAGTAGAATAAAGTAACTAAAGTTTAGCTATACGCTTACATTTAGTTAACTACAGTTTGTTGGTCTCTTTGTTATGTAGTATGTGAAGAGGGAAATTGAGGTTTAGGCTAGTTTTTTGGGTAAGGGGGAGTGGGAGGAATTCCATTGATAAAATCCTCAATCTGTGTGCTGCTTTCCTTTATAATCAGTAATAGAGACATTTTCTGGGTTTTCCAGTCTTTCTTCACAACAATATGCTAGTAAGCTGAGCTCCGGTTTGTTCACTGTATAAACATCAAGAATATTTTGCTGTGACTATTTTCGTGTGGCTCAAATTGAGAGGGTATTCTAATATACTTGCAGTTAACTGGAGGGAAAATTGGTGATCGCTTACTGGCAGAAGCAGAAACAAATCTCGCAATAAACGTGATTCCAGGCATGTCAGAGTCATTTGAAGTTCAAGGGAGAGGAGAACTTCAACTTGGTTTGTGCTTTTCCTGCAGCTATTGAAAAATAATATTACATGTCATAAATCATGTACCTGCATAAATTTTGTGGAGTATGTCTCTATCTTGGCTTGGTGAATTACTTTTTGTTGTGTCAAACAGGTATCTTGATAGAGAACATGAGACGGGAAGGTTTTGAACTCTCTGTCTCGCCACCTAAAGTCATGTGAGTTTAACATATCCATCTTTTTCTTTTGTTGTTAGAGAAGTTGCTTCATATACTATATTGCCTACACGATTAAAATTGGCTCAAATTGTGGAAGCTAATGCTGCATTTCTAATGCAATTTACTTTTAGCAATCAGAAGTGTCAACATCGAATTGTGGCTAATATTATTGTTTTGTTTTTTTTTCTGCGGGTTTCTGAAGAAATTATTTATACCAAGTTCTGTTTTTTGTTCACCTAAGTCCCCTTTTGTTTTACATTCTGAATTTTTATCTTCACCTTTTTATGCATGCAATTGGGTTTTAAATTACTTGACCCACTCAGGTACATTGGCAAATGTATGTTTAGTCCATTTGGAGTTGCTTTTTAGACTAAGAAAGCTATCAAGTTTTTTTTCCCCTCATTGCTAATTCCTCCCCTGTCTGAATCAGGTATAAAAGTGAAAATGGACAAAGGCTTGAACCAATAGAAGAAGTGACTATTGAGGTTAATGAAGAGCACGTGGGACTAGTGATGGAAGCTCTGTCCCATAGGCGGGGGGAGGTCGTAGATATGGGTCCTGTACCTGGAAATGATGGTAGGACAAGACTGTCATTAACATGTCCTTCAAGAGGTTTGGTTGGGTACAGGAGTGTGTTCAGCAGCGACACCCGTGGAACTGGATTTATGCATCGGGCTTTTCTAAGTATGCATCTTTACTACTAACGGTTTCTGCCCTTCCTCTTATGTCTCTCAGTAAATTCTTCTTTCTAAATCATCAGATCATTTGAGTTCATATGAATGGGCTGTTGCATTTCGTTAAGAACATTATCGTACCTAAACCTTGTTGGTTTGCAAGTATCAGTTAAAGTTTCATCTTCGTACGTGTTCTTCAGCTGATATTGCCCTATATTTTGCACTTGCAGCTTATGAAAAGTACAGAGGTCAGCTTGGCAATGTCCGGAAAGGAGTATTGGTATGTCAACCTTTCGTATATCTCTTTTGAATTAGCTGTCATGCTTTGTATTATATCTGTAACAGGCCAGCTCATGTTTAAGTGAGGCTTTCTACTATTGGGCCGATTATCCATGATCCTTGCCCCTTCAGATTTTTTTTAGCTGCAGATTAGATCTTAGTTGTAATCGCATTTTATTTTTTGCTTGATCAAACAGGTTTCAATGGGGTATGGTACCATCACAGCTCATGCACTGATGAGTTTAGAAGCTCGGGGAACTCTCTTTGTCAATCCGGGAATGGAGGTGATTCCCTTCTTCTTGCTTAGATATATACCTATCTGAACAATGAACTGGCATTGTACGCCTTCATAATGCATGATCATTACCGAACAAAACTGACAAAACATGATATGGGTTTTTGCATTTATAAACCACTGTTGATCTTTATGTTTTTTTCCCATGACAGACGTATGATGGAATGATCATCGGTGAACACTCCCGGGATTCTGATCTCGACGTAAGTTGGAACCTCAGTTCTTCATCCCATACATTCGTTCTGAAAAAACCCATCACTTGACAAGACAGCTAATCTCGAGGTTTTTGTTTTTAAACTCGCCTTTTCGTGCAGGTTAACCCGGTTAGGACCAAAGAACTCACGAATGTTCGAGCTGCTTGCAAGGACGATAACGTGAAGCTATCTCCACCCCGCCTTGTACGGTCACCCCCACTCCGCTCTCTTCGGTTCTTGTCCTGTTTCAATGTCGGTAACTGACATGTCGAATCTTTACAATCTCAGCTGACACTCGAGGAAGCCATTGGATATGTCGCCTCTGATGAACTCATTGAGGTATTTTTGCCGTGTTTAAGCAGTTTTGTGGAATGTGTCAATGGTTCAATGGGCTTTTTGTATTTGTTGGTTTCAGGTCACACCAAAGGCGATCCGGATGAGGAAGAGATGTCTGGACGTGAACAAGCGTAAATCCCTGAGCAAGCGTCAAAAGGAGTAAACCGTCCTCCTTAACCGGTTCCGTTTCCAATTTTGATTTTGTTAAACCGGTTCGGTTCTGGATTTTTTGGCTGCCGTGCGTGGTCAGCAATCTTTATTTATTATTACACAAAAAAGGCACCAATCGATGTTATGAGGTGACTCGATTCATAACTTCAATTATATGTTAACAATAATCAGATACATCATGTTTGTATAATAATTTATTTTTGTTGGTTATTTTTTTGTTGTTATAGAATTCGGTCCGAGTCTGTATTCGGTCCGAAGGTTTTGGGTTTGGATTCAAGTCGATCCGATTTTTTTTTCGGGTCTATGCAGTTAAGTTCGAAATCTGGTCCTATATATACCAGATTCAGTTCGGATCGATCCACATAAATCTTTTTATAAATCTTATTTGTTTTTATTTATTTTTAAATATCGGCTTTCGGATCAGTCCGACTCGAATCCGAAACAGATTTGAGTTCGGTCTGAAAATTTAATTTTTTCGGGCCGAGAAATTTAGGTTCGAAACTTGCGAATTTTCAGACCGGATCAGATAGGATTTAGGTGTGGTCCAAATTGACACCCCTGCTGTCGAGTTGCGAAACTCTAGAAGATATTATCAGTTTTGTGTTTCCCGAGAAACGAGATGATGCTGATCCGAATCAGCTTAACGCTTGTGGGCCATGTTATCCTAGCCAACTCGTAAAATGTTGAATTTGAATATTATTATAAAAAAAGTAAATTAAATATCTGGTTGGATGTAAAGAGACGTGTTTATTTCATTAGTATGACGATCCAAATTCAAATAATTTCTCGTGGAAAATGTTCAGTTCAGACCATAGGATATAATCTCGGATAAGCTAACACAAACTTCTAACATTATTATTATTATTATTATTATTATTATTATTATTAACTAATAACCCGCATACATAGCGTGGACTATAAATATATATGATTTTTAAAATTTTATTATAATTATAAAATAAAATATATTATATTTTGTTTGAATTTATAATTCATATCTTTGAATCAAATGATAAATATTTTTTAAAAATATCAAGATAACATTATGGTATTTTTTTTTTCAAAAAGGGATTATGAATAGTTTCTATGTTTGTATTTTTGTATATTATAATGAAAAATCAAATATTGAAATTTATAATTCAAAACAATGTTTTTAGAAATTTTACAACTCGATGAAAGAGTTACCTAAAGAATTTTACTACAGTCTATAGATATATAATGTGATAACTAAAGTTTTAACAAATAATATAAATTTTGTTGTTATTAGGAATCTAATAGTAATATATTTAGATCAATAACACTTCATACTAAAACATTGGTATAATATTAAATATGTATAATCGTATCAATATTCAAATTTTATAGATAACTATTTAAAGTAACCAAACTAATGAAATACAATATTAATCATAGAACACTTCATTTATCACATTATATTCTAAATCAATGTATTATTTTTTTTATAAACTAAGATTGTGTTATCTTTATACTAAAAAAACTAAAAACTAATATTATATCATATTTGATATTATATACATTTTATCACAATAATATTGGTTAACTAACCCATATAAAAATTTGACATTTCAAATTTTGGATTTATTTAGGATCCATGGATTTAATTTAAACATCAATAGAAAACTATTTATCAGATCCTAACAATATTTATAAAAAATTTATATATTTATATGACACTTCTAATTTATATATATAAGTTGTAGCCTCATTTGTTTAGATCTTTTTATTTAGTTAGAACTGTATTTTATTAAATTTATTTTTATTGTTTTTATCATCCTAATTTGTTTTTATATGATCCCATAAAATCTATTATGATGAGCTTATGATGAAAGAGTG